GAGTTCGCCGCATGCCTGGATAATGCAAAGGTTAGAGCACTGAGATTTATCCGGCATTGTACCGGTACGAAATTAGACTCTCGATATACCCTTTCGTTATGCAGATAGGACTAAAACGAAATAGGGGTAAAAGATACTGTATGACTGCGTATGCAGGATGATCCTACTGAAATGAATCCGGATAATCACTAGGGGGGACGTTCAAAAGCCGAAAGTTATCAAAAGAGACCTGAGCCTTGACCAGCAGAGTAATAACAAAGTTTTAACACCATTGAGGAAAATAACAATGTTTATCCACCCAATCGGCACAGTCACCTTATCGTTATATACCAACTGACAGAGGAGACTGTATGCAAAGTTACCTTAACTGTTGCCGGATCGATCTCACCATTGCATGCGTCGAAGTACTTTTTTAGGTCTTGATCGCAGTGCTCGAAGACGATGGTGAGTCGAGACTCGCTGATGAGTACATCATAGAGCCTAGACGGTAAATAAGTTTAAACAAGACATCATTTAGAAAGCCACATTTTTTGAAGCGATTCCAATTTAGTTAGATGGAAAAAATGGCAATAAGTGTACGCCTATCAACTTTTTCTCAGTTTTATATTTGCCAATTCCAACTTATTGAGACTACAGAAGGCCGCGCGTAACCGGTAGGTCCGCAGACCTTGTTCTGTGAGGCAGTTAAAGTGGTGTTAAGGTCGTTAGATATATTCACTGTTCAAGAAAACATAGACAGGTAGTATTGGCCTAAGGTTTCTGACTGGTGTTGAGTGAACTAGTGAAAATATAATGGCATCGTGTAGGGAACCCTGTGTGGAAAAACGGTAAGATGTAAAAATCTTAATTCGCTTTGGACTCAAAGAAAGAGAGCTTAGCGCGACGGACAAATTTTAGATCATATTGACATCAAACCGGATGCCATGGTAAACTACGAAACTGGGCTCTGTCCTACTGAAAGTAATATAATATTAGTCAACAGTAATACCTGTGTATTAAGGTCTGTGGTTTAATGAACAAGTCTTAGTTAAGTTATAACATGGTTTAAGTGTCCTAATTCACGTCTACCCGGCATAAAAATGCGTAAAGTGGGTGGTAACTGGCACGAACACCGCCGTCAACAAAGAGGACGATGAAGTAGATGTACGTCATAAAAAGTATCAATTTCACAGAACTCCCATAGCTAATATCAAGGAGTAAATCTTGTAACACACCTAAACGGTCGATAACTCTTTTGATTACCGTAATAGTTGGACCTGATTATGAATTACTTCCAAGCTTCTCACGACTGCAGCCAGAAAAGTGATGTTTGTGGCGTTTTAGGGGTTTTAAATTGTTTAAACGTACGCTCACCATTAGTGAGAGTTGAGGGGCTAAGAAGAGTAACCTTCACAAAATCTGTGTTGTTCAAAAGACGCATGACACTCGTTTGTTTATAAGGTTCCCAGAAAATCATTGGGAAAAATCGCGTTCTATACACAAATTTTTCGACTATATTGCGAATACAGGTACGAATAATCTTTTTCTTAACGCTTGATCTGCAGTATGCTGGAGGACCAAACTTTTGGAATTCACGCCTAAGTGGTTGTAGCAGCCGTTCGTAGAAGTGTTCAAACAAAACGACCAGTGAAAAAAAAACTTACTTTGCATACATTTTCAACTAATTACAAAGATCGAAACTGGGTTATCAATAATTTGTCGGTTTGGTGCGACAGCTGGTAGGGGAATCGTTTCACGCGTAATCGGACTTAGCATCAATTCCTATGCGGAGATAGCCTCTTTCCATTCTAACAATTTATGAAATTTAATAGACTGCTGCCTCTTTTTCCAGAATAACACACTTAGTCCCGCTAGGAGTGTTTTTACGAGCCACACAAACCTTGCGCGACCCCTTAGAGTAACAACTATTACGTAGAGGGTTTAGGTCATTA